AGTAACGGAAAACTACTCGCTCATTTACTCTGAAGAAATCAAATGAGATACGGGTCGAAACGACGGTATCCGTATATCACCACAAAGAACAATATATAAAACGGTGTAGAAAACCATTTAACTGCCTTTTCAACAAGAAGGAAGCAAAGGTTCAACGTGGTAATCAACCATTTCCTTAAAATTATGTTCACCTGGCAAAGCTGGACGAGAAGCTGTAGTACTGCTGCAAATCGTCGCTGTCCAAACCTGTGCGAAAAGCTTCTTCGATTTCGTTTGTGCCGTTCTTTGCTTCTGAGACATCAGCAGTCATCGACAACGGTGTTGAGCAGCTATTCACGAAATGCAGATCGTCAGAGGCGATCGAGCCTGCTTCGTGGGAAACCTCGGTCCAGTCGTCTGCGACGTTGTCTACTTCGATGATGTGCACGGTCTTCTGCTGGGATGGCCGGCAACGCCGTGCTAGATTCGTCGACCTGCAGGGAGGAAAAGAGTACAGCAGCGCGTCCTCACACACCTCAACGCTGTTCAACGCCGAAGGAAGCGCGCAAGTCGAGCTGCCTTCAGCTACAGGTATTTCGACCGATGCCAGCTCGGCACAAGGAATCTGACCGTCTATTGTCACTGAATAGGGTAAAACTGAAATGTGTTGAGTCTTTGACTGGCCAGCAACAACAGCTTTCCCGGCGTTCATCTTCTCACAGACACTCTTGGCATCGAAACGGCTGATGTATGTCTATACAGAAAATTCACGGGGGTATGACATGCAACAGAACAAGTGATGTTTCTTAAACAGCAAACATTATACTATGTGGTACAGTTTATATGTTGTCCTTCGCCATTTACAACGGATATACAATGAACGGTTTATATGTAAAGGACGATTCAAACAGTTGATCCAAAAATATTGGTCTGCTGTAACTCAACATCTGCAAGGAGAAGCTAAATGTCGCCTGCTGAAATAAGCGAACGCTGAGCTTCGACGGCAAAACGGATGACGACCAGTCGCATCCCCGGAAGTATAGCACATGCTAAATATTCTAGGACTCTCAAAGACAGCCAAGGAGATCATCGGCTTGAAGCGATGGCGTTTCCATTAATCTGATAACCAGGACTCTCGTGGCAGCAGTCACAGCTGTGCTATCCCTCGAACGGAAAACTCATTTATCTACAACATGCATAGGACATATCGTGCCATCGTTTGCTAATTCGAAAGAGACACGTTAAGGTGAAATTTATCTTTGTAAGTGCCCAGAGTAAGGCTTAAGAGAACCCGAAGAAAGACCGGTTCTACGCCTGTCTACATGCGGCTATTGGTTCCATTGCATATTAATTATCAATCGGAGCCGGTGACCTCAACGGCTAGATCAGCGCTCACTATGACTCCTTGTCCAGCGCATCAGGTCAGCATGGCAATGGTGTTGCCGGTAACAGCGGTCTCTACACATACAGCCTTGTATCCATCAGTAGAGGTGAACAGCACCAAGATATCACTTTCAAAGCCATATGGGTCACATCAGCGACAAACGACGGAACGGCATCATATACATCAATAGGACGAAATGCAGTGCAGACACGGAAATGACCATTTCCGAAGGTGGTGGTGGTGAAGTTCCGTTTCAGTTGGGTAATAGCTGGAAAGATTATGAATAGCGGAGACATCCACAGAGATACGAAAAAAATGGAGGTTTCCATTAAATCAAAGACGTTTCAATGGAAATCACGAGCATATTCACCACTATACAAAACGCCATTACGTCCAATACCCACAACTACCAAATATCGTTAGGATGAAGACACTGTGGGCGGGTACCAAGACAGCATGTTACAGCAGCAGAAATATGAAGCTGCCATGGATCAGGACACAAACAATTAACCTTCGAACCTTCGCCCAAAATGAAATACCGAAAAACAGACGCTGTTAAATGACTTCGATGAGATGTGAACTGCGCGCATCGCTTCCATTAAAAGCAATCAACAGCTGCTACTGCAATAATAAAGAACTTTAACTGGATTTTGAAACGCTGAAGCTGAGAAACGTCGAGGCGAAATGGGACTGAAAGATGTTTTACGGACAGGTAAACATCATCGTTACAGGTGGCAAAAGTCGACCTCTAATCTGCTACACAGAAAGTCCAATGAGCCACTGCAAGACGCCGCTGGCCGCCAGAAGCAACTGACTGAGGACTTCCTAGAACTCCTTAATAAGCGTAGTTTTTTGACAGTAAGTGCTAGTGAAAAAGGATGTGATAGATAGTGAAAAAGCACTGCGAAAAATATGTGAATATGAATCGTGTTTCACCATCGACTAAAAAAATCTGAGAAACGACAACCCTGCATAAATAGCCATGTAGTGTGGGCAAAGGGGGTTGGCGCGAAATCCTGAACCTCTCAGAAAATCCCGATACCTTCTCAGATGAATCAGTCTGACTTTCGATATATGCAGAAGAAATCACTGATCCATGAAACCCGGAAGAAAGGCGTCACCGTACAGACTCTTAACATCAAAAATCACGCCCCCTGCACTAACTTTCGAGCAATCATCCTAGTGGCTGCAGCAGAGAAAGGACTCGGGTGGATTATGCCTGGAACGTTGAAGAAAGCTACCAATGATTTGATACGAACCAACTACACAGGCTTCCAAAGCGGATAAAAGCCCAATCGTACAAAGACAACATCTTCGAATGGATCATCGAACAGAACAGGAGCTGGTAACTACTTTGGCATGTAATATTTTCAGACTTCACATCGAGAAACATCGATGTGATTCCATAACTCTGGGAAACTTAGCTTCCCGGCTTTTAACACAAAATAAAAACACAGAAATCAGTTAGCTGCATTTGTTAGACGTAACTGCATCCCACTGTTAGAAGTGCTTTATTTATAGTACGGCAATTAAAGTACAAAAACACTGCTCCCTGCATCGAAAAATTTCTGCACAACATGCAGGCAAGAAATGAGATGGGTGAGCGGGCAAGAAGAACATTGATTTCTTAAGAAGAAAGGGTGCGAAAAAATTTTAGAAATTTTCATTAACCGAATTTCAAACAAGGCTTCCAACAGAATACTTCAAACTACGATTATTGTTAAACATTACTTTAATTAGACGGATAAAAAGTACCTCTTCATAAGGCAAATCAATTTTCACATCGTCAAGGCCTTTCAAGGCCGCAGATATCATTTCAACTGCCTAAAAAACAAAATGAATAGAATATAAATTAAGGAAACAAAATTTTAAGTCAGGTATCAGTCTTTCAAAAGTAACAATTTGCCATCGTTGATTAGTGCATTAATATGCATATTGGAATAAGTACACTACTTTATCTCCAGAAATCTGATATTCCGGACACACCAGTTGTGAATTATAAAAAACCAGTTGGAACTTGCGATTTAGAATGAACAAAACTCGACAAGAAGAAGTACACATTTACATTACCTCCTTATCCATAATGAAAGCACTGCTAGAATAGTATTTCCTCAGCAGCTCCATGTGACAGCAAAAATTCTTCAAATACCACGCAAGACTGCCTTCTGCCAAACAACACAGCAACCACAAACTTCCTTGAAAAAAGTCATTCAGCTGGATCAGGCTGAACAAAAACAGAAAGGCTTACCATCATTAACACCTTTCAACGAAGGAAAAAGATTGGCCACGTTGGCGGGACAAGGTGACTGATGCTGCTTGGGAAGAAACTGACGTACCAACGCCCAGTAACCTGTCTTGCCACGGCGTTTCAAACTAAAGTTGCAAAATGCTGGATTTCGACATAGTCTTATACAAAAATAATTCTTAAATCGATTAATTTATGCAGAGGAATAAAAAGGTCAATTTTTTACACCGACAAATAATGGACGCGCTGTCGGTCATCTACCATGGTAATCTAAGGAACAAGCTCGATGAAGACTGTCTTGTGCCATGTCGTTTACTTTACAAATGCACAGAGACCCTTGGCAAAACTGACGGAAGAACTTCTCTGCTCGATCAATCTTGCTGATGCGACTGATCAGCAGAACTGCACGGCGAAGGATGAAAGTCTTTCTTCAGGAGTTCGGTGAAAGCCCAGATCAGGAATAAGTCATTAGCGGCAGTAAAGAGCCAAAAGCAGTCGAATTATTCTGCTCGAAGAAAGAAGTGAGAATCTTGGCAGTCTGAGTAGGTAATAAGAATCCCTGTGTACTTTTCTGAACACTGACATGAAGTCGCCAGTCCGCTCTTACTGATCGTTAAGGCGCATGGACGGCTAAGTACTTAATAGTGCGAACAAATGGGGCATGCTGATTCTCTGTTCCAGTCGGCTGTTGGACTGCCAATAGGACTGTTTTAAATCTGGTGCTTTTCAAGGCACTTTTCATCCGACTCATCACTAGGCTGCAGCAGTACATCGCATGCGCCTCGTTGCTTTGTTAACTGCATATAGCCGAATTTATGAATCAACAATGCTTCGGACAGGAGCGATTATCACTGTCATAAGCATATGATACACGTGGCGACTTGGATTAAGCTGAAGCACTATTTAAATAGCAATCCAGACAACAGCGATCCTGTATGTATATATGTATGTATGTATGTATGTATGTATGTATGTATGCATGTATGCATGCATGTATGTATGTATGTATGTA